GTGTGGTATAAAAAGGGGTTTGCAAGTATTTAGAGTAATGACATTAAATGAATTATTTTCTCTTTATTCTTTAGAAAAAGCTTCCCTACATTGTTTGGCTCTAAATGAGGACTCTAGGTCTACAGGCCCTTCGGAGAAAATTCCTCTTCAAATCGGCAGAAGCTGCTGCCTGTTCCAAAATCTTGAACAAACCTGACAAGCCATTATTCTGGGACATAAAGCAACACGACAGCCAAAACACTCATAATATTTATAACAGATTTAGGCATGCAACTGCACAAGTTAAATATTATAACAAGGTGAACACAGCACCACACAAATGTTTATATGGTTATTTGTCCTACTTGTTCATTTACATTGGGAACATATACATTTAAGCTGATATGCTCTACTCTTGTATTCAGATCATTCTTTACTGGTAGAAGCACACTTACCAAAATACAATTTGTAACCTTCATGTAAAACTGTACATTGAATACTATTTTCTGCCTTCATCAACTTTCAATTTGCACCAATGCATATATTTGCATTTGCATTAATCAACCTGAGCCGCTGAATACACTTATTCAGCATCCCAAACAAAATGGCCACACAGTTTCAAAAGGTAGTACTTATTTGTTATTCTCTTACATGGTATAATGCTTCTTCTGTTTAAGTTTCTGAAAATAATTTGTGTTTTGTTTCTTTTTTCCTCTAGCCTTATCTTTTTCTGGGGGATGATTGCATACTTTCCAGCCTGTCCGATCACCTACCAAATGGTAGACAATGATGAAGGTGAGTCTAATGAGGATGACCACATGGACAAACAATTGTAGTATTCGAAAAAAAGACAGAATACATCCTCAAATAATGCAAATGTCTTGTTTGTGGATCACATTTAGGTTCCGCTACAAAACTAAAGAAGCACAAGACTAGTGGTAGCTGTACAGACACAGTGCATCCGTCAAATTCTGCTTTTTGAGAAGATACATTACATCCCATACCAGACAATGGTGATTCTAGAAGTGTGAATACGCTTTCACCATTGGTAAGTGCCACAACAAATGACCCATCCAATCTGAATAGTCTTACAACAGAGAGCAAGTTAACGATGACTCTACTCTTGCTTGTAATCTCTGTGGCAAGGTTTATTCTTACCAAAATGATTTTCACAAACACCAGAGGACTTGTGAGGTTGATGGCAAACAACAAGCAGAAACAATACACAATGTTCCACAAGCTTATCACTCCAACACAACACTAGTTGATAAGACCAAAAGAGACTTCCCCTAGTGAACTGTGACTTGGCCTTCAAATGTTGTTCCCCAAGAATCAATATTTCCGACGCACCACAAAAGCAAATTTGTAAATAAGCAGTTCTGTCAAACAATGCTCCACATGTGGGAAAATATTTTCTTGTTCTGCTGAGTTGACTAGGCACTATTCGGAAACACAGGGAAAATAAAAAGTAATTAATGATGTTTGTTGAATGCGTACACAAACATGTACAATACGTTCTCTCATCATGTCTCATACTGGTGCATGTCAGGTGACTTTTCAAATAAAGCTGTTACGACATTTTGTCTGATATTGTGAATTGTGTTCATCCACTGAGAATAAAAAAGAACCGTTCTGCACAAGTGTATCCAATCAAAGGCTTTTGTAAAATGTGCTGATGTGTACAAGGTTTTCTCCAAGGGCTACAAGGAGCTCGAGGCTGTGGTTATAAAAGGAGTACATTCACAATTTGGATAATTTGGGGTGAATCCAATTCAAAGAAAAAAGCATCCTGTTTTGCCATCATGGGGTTGGAAGCTGCAATTATTTGTTAACAGTAAAACGGCTTGCTACTAATTGAGAAATAGTTTTAATTCATTTTCAAATCCTTCTTATTTTCATGCAGGTCTATTTGATTGCATATACAGTATTTCTGATACATTCACATACAGCCTATTGGATAGAAAAACTAAAAATAGTGATTAAACATGCAATTGGCCCTCAAACTGTCGACTTGCTGTATAACATCTTGACATTGCTTGTATTGTGTTGTTAACTTACAATGAAATGCAACTTGGCCTTGGTAAATGACTTTGGTGGTAAATCATTCATTGTAATCCTTAGTGATTTATTTTCTGTTGATCAACTTATCGATTATGCCATAAATAGGTTCAGCATAGTGTATGCACATTTAACCTTGTGCAGTAGCTGTTGCAGAACAAATATTGCTCCACCAGAGAGCAGTGGTGCTCCAGGGACCGACTTCTATTCCTCAGCCAAAGTCAAACTATATTTTAGTTGCAGTATCAATATGTTTATTAATTCTTAACAGTTCTTTCACAGTCCACATCCAACACATGTTCAATGAAAACATGCCAGCTGTCAAATTGAAAAATGATCAAAAACGTTATTTGATGGTTGTTAATGCTAATTGCTAATTTTTAAATTGAGAGGATACAATATGAAACTAATATTAAATCTTTCATAACATATCATTATTGGTCTCCCTCGTGTGATCTCTCTGCAGAGCACATAGAAACCCTCAGTTTGGGATTTTCTACTTTGGTCTATTTCTCCTCTCTGTCTTCTAATTAAGAAGCAGTGTGGCAGGTAAGGTGATGGAAAGAAACAGAGAGCAGCCTTTTTTAGGTGAGGAAGGGACATGTCTAAAAATGGGCACAGTAAGGGTTGCAAATCATTTTGTGTTTTGTTTAATGGAATAAATGTGAAAAGGGAATGCTGTATTATTTTCTATTCCAAGTATTTTCAAAGAGCTTTGGACAGGATGTGCTGAGTACATTTAGGTTTAATAAGGTTTGGTTATATGTTTACAGAATCTCACTAGACAGCAAGCAAGTGAAAACAGAAGAATTCTCACAAAATAAAAGGCAATCTTCAGTGGGCTCTGCAGCACACTGGTAGGCAGACTGCACCACTCCTCAGGGACATGGCTGTCTGCAGAGACACTGAGCTTTTTCTCAGACTGAAACCTCTCTGTCCTACTCTTGATGAACACCACAGTATGGGAGTGAACTTTCATCGTAAGAGCTTAGGTCCCCTATGGCCTCTTATGCCTTCTAAAGATTAGACTAATGTCTGTCGGTCTCAGGAAACAGGTTGCTTAGCGATATATAACATGTCCACATCAAACGGTGTTCTCAGTTCACAATTAGCCATGGCTTATTGCAGGTGCTACAGAATAATTCCCTGTAGAACATTATACATAATCCATTCTGTATAGGATTCCTTTTAAATCTTCTGGTTTGGATACAACATGTCTCTTGATCAGACACTATTTACTTCTTGATCCCAACTACAGAGGGCCTTAAGGGTAGTTTTAAGTGTTAAGTTGAATAAACATTGTAAATCACTGCAGTTATTATGTGATGTGACTAGAACATGTCCCCTTGATTCAATCGTGTATAATAATTATGCCTCTTCAGATCCCAGTCATAAACTAAATTATTCCCTTTTTACATAATAACTGTCTAAAGATTCCAGGAATAATTAACTGAAATGTTCTGTGTAGAGCAAACACCTCTGTTTCCTCTGAAGAGCTCCACCTCCAAAAAAAAAAAAGGGTTTATTCTAATGAACATCAACTCCTTATTGATTTATAGCAAAAGTGAATAGGACTGTTGGTTTGACATCTTGATAACTAACTAACTAATACGGAAATAATCTTAAAATATGTTTTTTATTCAGAAACAATAGAAAATGGCATTTAAATTCTATTAGTTTAGGTTTTTGATTGACATAACTACACATGTTCGAACGTACCATGGTTTGAGTACTGTGTAGTTAATCAAAATATGGTACAAACATTTCCCCACCTCGTTTAATTAATGAGTTTTCGGAAGTACAAGAGCCAAGATGCATCCTGACTGTGTATCATTAGAATAGGATACATGTTAAGGGACTGCTGAGTGGTGCAATGCAGCTTTGATTGAATTGAGTCCCAGGTTTGCAGCTGTGTTGAAGGGATTCTGACTCTGTAAAGTCTCTTACTCAGCAGAAATGTCCTAAAGAGCTGGTGCATTCTGGGAGCTGCATGGGTGACGCCAGCAACAAAATGCCATCCTGCAGACATACATCATATCCAGATAATGGATGCCCATCACAGCCCCTGCCTGACATGATCTTGCTGAGAATAATCATTCTGTTGTATTATACAGGGAATAGGGTCTACCCATATCTGACAACATACTGCCTCCTTTGTTCCCTTGTCTCAAACTGAATGCATTGCATGTTGCTTTAAATTCTGAAAACCAGCATTAGAGAGTTATAAGGGTTCAGGCGTAGCTCTCCTCCTCAAGTGTAATTGGTTTTTGGCGAGGCTGCCTTTCAGATTG